CTCCGGTAATGACCCGGGCTCGACAAAACGTCGCAAGTGAACTAGCAAAACTGGGTGGTAGCCGTAGCCTGACTACCATGTACGTACACAAAGCCCACCTGATGAAAACCCGTTGGATCCCAAAGGTTCCTGGACGGGCCCACTGTAGTAGGCGCACGAAAGCCTGACCTCCCTACAGCGGTATGCACATGATGATAAAAAAAAACCTAGGACATGCGTCTAGGATGAACATGATGGAAAGAATGCATTGATTGAAGAATGAAATTAAATTCAACGTATACATATATGTTTGATTCCGTATGAAAACAATTTGTTCAACATGATGGCCTTAGGTTCAGAACTCGCTGATAATCGATTATTTGTTGGTGATAATCGAATATCTAGCATGGCAACTTCTGTTCCCAAAGTTTTGCAACCTATGAAAGTCGAATGTCACCTTAGGATAATCGATTGTCAAGTTGGTTTGTCTAGATGTTAAGTCCAGAGAGGCCTGATAATCGATTATTGCTCTGTGATAATCGATTGTCAAGTGAACCAGCTCTGACTCCAGAATCCGCAAGGCCTGATAATCGATTACCACTTATGTGATAATCGATTGTCACACTATGCTGGATCAACTAAAGAGTTCAGCGTGACCTGATAGTCGATTATTCCGTTCTGTAAATCGATTATGAAGGCACGCTGATTCCCATTTTGATTGTTTGCTTATCATCTATACATTGGGAGTTTTTGAAACGAACGTTTATGATTACATGTTAAGTATTCCATGAATATAGGGAGTTTCAAAATGTTTATATTAACGGGTACATAACTTGATAACATGGGCACACGTATGCTTGATGGTTAACCTACGAACATGCATAGATTCTACGTAGGTTGCGTACGATATTCCTATGAATATAACAACATAGATTATGACTTGATGTTCTAGAATTAGAGGGACAAGTACTCACCTCTAAATGATGGGGTTGATGAAACAGAAACGAAATGAACGGATGATGGTAACGAATGGACCAACGAACGAACGAACGATCGGCTTCTCGCGTGAACTTCCTTCTCTTCCACCTCCTCGCCTACTCCCGGAATCCCTCCTTGAGCTGTTGTGGGTTGGCCGAAAATGCACAAAGGGAAGGAGGAAAGGAGATGATGTGAGTGGGAGTTACCAA